CTTAAGCTGATACCAGCGTACGGGTGCCCCCCCTCTACTTTAATCCGCCCTTATTACCGGCCGATGGCAGGGGCGGGCGCGTTAAGGGTGGACCAGATGTTAATTGGAATGCAGGCTCCGCGCTGAGGTAGTTCAGTTATTGGGGTTGTTATCTTAATTCTGAGATCTGCCTGCAACCACAAGATACATTTTTGATAGGGGTAGTTTTCAACGGTCTACGATCATCTCTAGCTCAGACAAAACAGCTTCAGAATCAGATGATATAAGGCTCCTTATGTCTAGACCGAAAGTCCCTTAACGTCGCATGTCGCTTTTTTTCAACAGCCAGTCTAAAAGAATATTTTCAACTCTTTTTGTCTGATTCTTGCATGGTTTCATGACTGAAAATTAGTCTCTTTTTTGTCAGAAATTGAGTTTTGTGTGCATTTTTATGTATTTTTGCTTCACTCGTAACTTGTTAACAAATTATAGTACAGCTCTAAGATTGTATGTGAATATTCCACTTCAAAATATACTAAGTGACATATAAATCCGAACACCCAGTTTAAATGGTTTTATTTTAATAAAAGTTGGTGAATGTATTTATCTTGCTGTAAATAACAAGTGAAAAAATGTTCAGCCTTATCAGTTGGACATTCCGGTTTTTATACTGCTTTTTTTTTAATTCGCTAACGCTCTAAAAATGAATATTTCAGCAGCAGTAAAGAATCAACGTTGGCGGATTTTGGTTCTTGACATCCTTTACGATCGGTTACCATGCCTAGAGTACGGAGACCTGTACGATTTCGTCAACTTAGTGAGTTTGATAGGGGCCGTATAGTGGGACTTCGGGAAGCTGGACCTTCTTTTCGGGCAATTGCAGTTAGAGTGCAAAGAAGTGTAGACACTGTGGTTAGGTGTTGTCAGGCATAGCTTCGAGAAGGCCGTACGCAAAGAGCAAGGGGCACTGGACGCCGCCGTAGAACAACAGACCGTGAAGATCGCCGCCTAAGATTATTGGCCTTAAGGGACCGTTTCTCCACTACCAGGTCAATTGCAAATGAATGGTTTGCAGAACACGGAAGACCTATTGGCATGCGAAGTGTTTACCGACGAATGAGAAGTTTTGGCTTGTTTTCATACCGGCCACACTGGGTCCTCCCTTTAACTCGAGAACACCGACGTAATCGCCTTGAGTGGTGCAGACAACGGTCACTCTGGGATCAGGAATGGAACAGTATTGTCTTTAGTGACGAGTCTCGATTTTGTTTAGGGATGCACGATGGTCGTGCCAGAGTTAGAAGGCGACATGGTGAAAGGAGCAATCCACAGTTTTTTGTTGAAAGACATGTTCATCACACTGTTGGAGTTATGGTTTGGGGTGCTATAGCTTATGGTTCCAGGTCACCTTTAATTTTCATCAGAGGTAACATGAACGCGCAGCGTTATATCCACGAAGTTCTAGAACCCCATCTTTTACCCTATCTTGACACCCTGGCAGATCCAACTTTCCAACAAGATAATGCCCGACCACATGTTGCAAGAGTCACAATAGACTTCTTTCAACATAATGACACATTGTTAACATGGCCACCAAGATCTCCCGACTTATCCCCAATTGAGCACGTGTGGGATATGATGGGTAGGAGATTGCTCAATTTGCAACGTGCTCCTCAGACTCTAGAAGCACTTCGAGAGGAGTTGGTAGTTGCCTGGAATGAGATACCACAGGAGGACATTGACCACCTGATCAGAAGCATGCCTAGGCGCGTTGGAGAATGCGTAGCACATCAGGGTGCATCCACACATTATTAAAGGTCAAAGGGCTTTAAAGCAGTGCAATCATTTTAAATTTTTTATCATTTACTTATTATGCTTCATTAAGTACTTATACAAAATTTTATTAAAATAAAACCATTTAAACTCGGTGTTCGGATTTATATGTCACTTAGTATATTTTTGCATTTTTGGAAAACTGAATTTGCTGCAAAATTCTTCGACGAAAATAAGTTATTACAATGAAAGGAATCTACCGCTTAATTCAACTATAAAAGTGGAATTTTGAGATACAGTTCCAGAGCTGTACTAAGTGACTATTGAACATGAATTTTTTGACAAAAAAAGTGAAGACATTGTTTTTTAGTGATTTCTATACGCACCCTGAAATAATCAGATGAAAGTGATTGCAATACCGCTACAAATGGGCAGTTTCAAAAAAGGGACCTTGAGAACTTGGATTTGTCTTGAAATACAATAACCAGAAGCTTGAAAAATGTCCAGAAACATCAAAATTCTCTAAGAATTTGGTTAAACGGAAGTAGTCCGAAAGAAAACAATTCAGGAATTCTTGCTTTGTTGTTGAGTTGTGCAAAAACTGGTTTCGGGAAGCAATAGGAACCGTGCAAATCTTCGGATAAAATCCTCTAAATTGAACTTCATGATATTCCGCACAACTCACAGAGTTGATCAATGGTTCGGCGAGGGACTTCACGAATGAGAGCATTGATTTTGTTGACGTTTTCATCACTCCTTGATGTTGATGGGCGTCCTGAACGGAAAACCACTCGTAGATTCTGGTTTTACTCGTATACCTTGACGGCAGACTAAGTTAATGACATTACCATACGTAGTAAAGGCATTGTAAATTTCCGCAAGTTCAAGTGTACCCCATGTAGCTCGTTGCAACCGATGCAATTATTTAACCATTACAGAACAATGCACGATTTAATCGTCGGTAACTGTATCATCGTTAGTCGACTCGCTTGCATTCTCCAAACAATCGTATCGGAAAACCAGAAATAATTATATACGTTCTTCGTTCAACAAATGTCTTAATAGAATGGCGGTGTCATTTAGAGTTATACTCTTTATTGTTCCTTATCGTTTTCCTTTTATACGTTACAGCAGGGCTCTTGGAAACATTAGCCGCTGTCATATTGCTGCATCAGCAGCTTGTAATCAGGGTCGAAATCATGAATCTACAGCTTAATAGACATGTTGAGAGTCCTTAGAACTATAGAATACTTTTGGTCAGAAAGCCAGAACAAATTTTGACCTCATATATGGTAACTGCTGCCTCGGCTACACTGTTGACACTTGGCCATGTGATTAGAGAATGGTTATTTGACAGGTTTGTTAGACTGCCTTCCTTTGAGCCTACTACGCTTCTTCCGTTCAGCACTGCATGCAAAGGAAGTTTCCAAAGCTCTAGATCGAAACAGCGTTGGGGTCAAAGCCAATCCCTGGGGCATACCGGCGTTAATATTGTGTGGTGAACTGAGGTGACACGGTATTGATTCTTGAATTAAAGATTGTTCTTTACAAAACCTGACGATTGTTGTTGCAATGTCGATTGTAAAGAGCTAGCAACATAAAAGGAATCTCAGCAATAGTTAAGACAGAGATGTCTTGTTAAACAAAGTAGCAAAATGCCTAGACAGACCTCTTGGCGACAATATTTTCCTTTCTGTAGTCTAGGTTAGCAAATTATTTAGGTTATTTTGCGCCGACACCACTATGTGCCATAAAGGCATACAATGTTGCAAGAGTTATATATTATGGTGTAATATTTATGTTTTATGATTTTGGGCACGTCTTACCCATAATACAGTCTCAGAATAAGCGTTGCTCACGCCTTTTAAATACTTACGAATGCTACTTGTGTAACAAGGAGGAACAAAAACTATAAAATACTCCTTATCATGCGTTTGATGTTGATGGGAAGATTTTAAACATCAATAAAAAGGTGATAACTATAATGTCAATCACATACGTGGTGGAAGCAAGGTGCTGCAGTGATCAGAAAATTAAATACCTTGTACGTATTTGAACTCCCGCAAAGGTTGAGCGTAGGCATTTTGGCTGAAATCTCTGTTGACGACCCATTCCACTGTTATCATCATTAAATCAGTTATCCAAGCACTTACACTACTATAGCAATTTGGTAACAAAACCAGTTTGAAAATTCTGTTCCAGGTACACAGCTAAAATTTCCTGGGAGGTTGGGCTCAGGGTGATGGTAACGTCACTCCTGCTATCTGTCATCATTATCACTGAGAAAGTGAGATTTTCAAAAAAACTTGTGTGAAAATATTGGGCTTTAGTGAGTTTATACATAAAAAAGTTAGTGAATTTTCTAAGGAGTTGAATATGATAAAACCAAATTTAAATGGATAATATAAATAAGAGTGTGTAAAAATAAAGGAACATAACTCTTTGAGGTTTTGTTAATATTTTATTGTCGTAAGCAAGAATAGTAATGTATATGTATGCACATTTTAAGATCAACTAAAAAATATATCAAATTCTTGTAAATATGGGAGCTGTTCTTATATCTATCAAGTATTATTGCCTAATTGACAAGTTGAAATTTGATATAGTTATTTTAGATGAGTATTTTTAACACAATCTAACATGTCATTAGGAATCAAGCGAGGCCTTATTCGATGGGTTCCGATGGACACTTCCTGGCTTCATCATCAGATAATCTCCATGCCATAAATATATTGTAATGTCAATTGTCATAATAAACGTCTGTCATAATATTGAAATAGAATGATGTCACTACTTATTGTGTTCCTTTCATCATTTCCGTTCATTTCGTATCCTTGATATAGGGGTCACTAAGGAAATTATAAATCGATATTTTGCGATAGCCACCATATCGGATCTAGAATGACGTCACGTTGCTTACTGTATCTCTCGCATCAAGCTCTTTCAGTCGATAACCATATTATAGGGTTAACTATAGAAATCAGCGGTAGTGTGATTACAGGTGAAGCTATCAAAAGTCTATAATAGGGCATTGATGAAAAAGAAATATACACAGCTAACGCTCAGAAGCCAGCGCTTACAGAACGGTGCCGATGCACTGCTGGTGGTGGCAGGTATCCCGCCAATTGATTTGAGGAGATTTTTATCAAAGGTATCGATCACCGTCTTTAGGTGCCAGTGTTGCCACCTCCAGGACTGTTGCTGCGGGTTTAAGGATAAATATGTTTTAAGGACAATTGAGTTTGATTTTATTGCTTGTAAGAGAATACGTTGATTGGTTTCGATAAATCTTCTATAACTGTAATAAAAAACATTGCACGGATTCTTCCATCAGAATTTCTTCACATTCTGTCCGCATACTTTCCATTAATGATATCTATTAAGCCTTCTTCAGGTAAGATTCTGATGATGAGATAAATAGAGGCATGTTGATCACACTGTAGTTTACTCTCAAGGCACATGCAATCATATAATGGACATGTAGGATAATCGTCTTTCTTATTCCAGTTGCAATGAATATAATTATTCACTTAGATATCATTATTTAATTCCAGTTCAGTGGAGCATTGAGAGCTTTTCTCCGCTATTAAACAATTTCCCATGAAATGGCAAGCTTCTTGTAATTCTTCTGGCAAATTAAATACGATAAAATAGCGCGACTGCTGCTGCCTCGTGAAAAATTCACAGCAATGTTGGACATGTAGAGAACATTTTTCAGCTAGATTTTATAGTAGATGCGGCGTAAAAATGCAGAGTTATTTCATTAGGTAGTAGCAATGTTTAACGTAATATTCAAGGAAGGTAGTCATCCAATCGTAAGAAGTAGCAAGGTAGCAAGTTGAATTTGGGATGATCCGTGAATATTATATTTTAGAGTAAAAGTGGCAGCTGGAAACCTCGAGATGGCAGCTGGGCTCTATCTCGGAATAATAAAAGCTTCTTATAACTACTTAATATCCATAGAATATTTGGGGATCTCAAAGTTGAGTACGTAGACTGACTAGCTTATAAGTTAACAGTTAATAGTAAAAAATTCGTTGTTGTTACAGCGGCTTATTATAGGCAAAATTGTCAATTTACGACATGTCTCTTATAAATACTTGACTATACAGGGTGCTTCAGTTTATTGTTGCATAACTTTAAGATTCGATAGAACTTTTAAAATTAATGCATGAAGTCTATATAAACATGGGTCGAAAAATGCTTGGCTTCCGAAATACAGGATGTTTAAATTTACTTTTTAAAATAGTTTTTTTAAATATTTCGAACAATATTTGATGTATAACAGTGAAAATTGGTATACAAGGGTTTTTTGGTACGACATAACGAACCATTGGCATAGTTTTACTGTAGCCGATAGAGGGCGCTCTCTACTCTACCTGTAGTGTATTAAAATGACCGACAATTTTTCTTAGTGCAATTTTTTGCTTTTTGAATAAAAAAACTGATTCTTCGCAGTCTCTTGTGAATTTTGGTAATAGTTAGCCGTTTTTGAGATATTTCGATTTTTAGGGTTCGATGCATTTTTAATTAATTATGGGAAAATAATATTTGTTTTACATTTTCGATTTGGGCATTACAAGTACTTAAGATGATCGTTTAGATTGTGTTTTTAAACACAGCAATAAGCAATAGATACCAATTCACACGTTCACACTAAATTCATCAACATGTTGATTATACCATTATACCACTCCACGTCTAGTGAAGCATGACTCATCGGTCCATAAAACGTTACCTAAAAACTCCCTATTATTATCAGTTCTATCAAGAATCCACTGGCAAAATGTGATTCTTCGTTCTCCGTCCCCTGGCTGTAGTCCTTGCACAGGTTGCAAATGGTAAGGACGTCTATGGTCACTTCTAAGAACACGGTGAACATGGCTTGCTGAAATGCCCAAGGCACCAGAAACTCTCCTAACACTTGTGGTCTGATCTCTATAAAACTCACGCAGAATCATACGGGTAAATCTGCGCTGACGAACATTTATCTTTTGATCCCTTTGGAGATTTCCAAAACCATTTTCAATTATTTGGCGATGCACTCTTACAAATACTGAGCGAGTTGGATGTCGTCTGTTTGGAAATATTCTTGCGTATTCTCTAGCTGCTTCTGCTGCGTTACCATTTACAAAGCCATACACAAAATGAATATCCGCTAACTCTTGATTGGAGAATAAAAATGGCATTTTTATAAAACTTAGAAAAAAAACAGGTTAAAGAAACTAAATTTCGTGCATTCATAATTGCAAAAAAACGTTTCAGGTTTCAACAGACAACAAAACTAACTGTCAACTAATTGACGTTTAACCTTATTCTGCTTTCAATTTCCAAAATATTTGCAGGCACAGCCTACTTCTAAAAATTATCGAGATACTGACTTTTTAACGTTATTTTATCATAAATAATAAAAGTGCATCCAACCTTAAAAATCGAAATATCTCAAAAACGGCTAACTATAACGAAAATTCACAAGAGAGCTTTTTTATGTTGAAAAGTGCGAAGAATCAATTTTTTTATTCAAAAAGCAAAAAATTGCACTAAGAAAAATTTTTCGGTCATTTTAATACACTACAGGTACAGTAGAGAGCGCCCTCTAGCGGCTACAGTAAAACTATGCCCATGGTTTGTTTTGTCGTACCAAAAAACCCTTGTATACCAATTTTCACTGTTATACATCAAATATTGTTCGAAATATTTAAAAAAAAACTATTTTAAACAGTAAATTTAGACACCCTGTATTTAGGAAGTCACGCATTTTTCGACCCATGTTTATATAGACTTTATGCATTAATTTTAAAAGTTCTATCGAATCTTAAAGTTATGCAACAATAAACTGAAATATCCTGTATACTAAAAATAATAAATAAAACGTCTTTTACTCATTCAAAGGTAGTCTTTCAAGTGAAAGTACAAGTATGCCATATATTTTCAGGAAGTCTCTGACGACTGATCCATATATAAAAATTTGTTCATTCTCTACTTTCTCTACGTTCGACGGATAACGTAATCTACCTAAAATCCTATCGAAAAATCCTTCGATGTAATTGACTTGTAAATATTTACTGAGTCGATCCCGAGGCACTCGAGCGGAGAGACTAAGGCCACATATTGAATACGTAAACACACGTAATGTAAAAACATAAAGTCCGGACACCTTCTGCTACGATGCTATATGAATTTTTAGCGAAATATCGTAAATATTGATGAGAGCTTGCGTTTTACTAAAATCTATGCAATACCAGAAATAAAAAGGAAGAAATACTTTATTGAAACGTTGCTTGTGTACAACAGGATCACGCCAAACATGTGTTTTAGATGGAATGCCAAATATGATTTGAAGATATTTTTAGATAAACTTATCCCAAAGAAAGTATGGCAGCTGAAACTGAAGTTCATCGCCTTATCGACGTGTGATAAGTATGAATAAAATATTATTGCAACAAACAATATAAATATATTGACTTTATAATGGCGAGCACCATAGGAACACATTTTGCGATGAAATTCTGAAAAAGCAAGATTCTGGTGCGTCGATGAATCTCGTGATACCGTCTTTCCTCTAAAGCTCTCGTCAGAAACTGTGTTTGTTCTATTTACCTCCTCTATTAAACTGCTATTGTATTCGGGTATGAAACAATTGCAACTCCGTCTGACTGTCTGTCGTTGGCTTCAGATGCAGCTGGAATCGTCGTTGTGTGATTCCTGTGGATGCAACGACACCGACACGGATCCTCATCCAGACTATCCAGATTCAGACATAGACATAGTTCCGCGTTCCAAGCGCAGCATCTAGTTTATGGTATTGCAATTGACTTTCTGCGGTCGCGTTTTATTGCATTACAAACGTTTAGGACTAAGTATATAGGCTGTGAGAAGTAGAGTCACTTGCGGAAAAACATTTTATGTTGAGACTCAAAGTATTTCGAATTTTAACGTTACTACTAGCCTTTAGCTTTTGCTATCTTATGTTCCTGTTTGTTGTGTATATTTAAACAACTAGCTTATCTTCTAATATGTTTGTATTTTACTAAAATTATGCTAGTTGAAGATGTAGCTTTTCTTAAGGTAAAACCATGTACAAGTTCAGCCTTTCAATTAGAGGTGGCCACGTTTAGACGCAGTAACCAGCGTCGCAGAAACGCCAGTAACATTTACTTTTAAACAATTTCACCGCTATGCCACGGAGGCAAAAGCTTTGTAGTTTTTGAAAACCGGTCTACTGGCAGCGGGACCAAACTTTCTTTTTTGACGTTTTAGGAGGTTCTGATCATTTTTAAATAATTTCTTATAGGAGTTGAATTTTGGGGGTTGGAGATTGTAAGGGGTGAGAAAGGGTTTAACCTTTTGATCCTACTATATCCCAACCTCACTTATTCTACAAGTATGCACATGAGTCATATTTCACACATCATGGATCTACCCGTATACTTGCCTTCAAAGCTTAGAATGATAGAAAAATGTTCCGTACTGAAGAGCAAACCTACTCGACGCCATGTTTAATTGATGTACCCAGTAGCGATTACAGCTACCTAGTCGCCAAGTCTCGGTGTGCATTAGCTGTTTTTAGTCGGGAGGGCAAAGGTACATAGGGAGAAAAGTTTCACAGCGAGGCGATCCTGTTATTCGTAGTGTGTATACTTTGGTTTAACACAGATGGAACTGAAATGCGATTTTAGAGTTTAATGAGCTCGCTCTGGATATGTGTTCGTTGCTTTTGAAACCAGCATGTATGATAGAGCGAACGTAGTAACTCTTTTCTCTTTCAGCTTCAAAGTTGCGGAAATGACTACGAACTTACGAAAAGGCTATTTTCATCTGTTTTCAGATGGATACCAGGTCATTCGTTTATCCTCAAACAATTTTATTATATTCTTGTTTTGGAAATCTGTTGCTTTGCTTTTTGCAGCATTAATATTGCTGTAATTATTGATAATGATATTGTATAAAAACTACGTCCGAAATACCATTTCACGTTGCTTCGTTGAACAAACGCCCTTGATGTACATTTGTACATATCTACTTCAAAAGCGCACGGATGTTTCGGATTACTCTGTAGATGGGTCTTGGATTTTGAATTTTTAGTGGAATGCGTTCAAAATAATGTGTATTGAAACAAGTACCAACTAATTTTGTGCGCTTTTTTTAAATTGCATTTTCTGGGTACGATTATTCTGGTTTATAATATACCTTACAGTACGAGTATATCTTAATTAAACTGAAGTTCATTTCATTCTATTTACCAATATATTTTTAATTTCTCTTAAATTACTTGGGTGATATAGACTAAACTCTACG